GATAGCATTTGAAGAAAAATGTGTCCATGCTACACACAGGCCTTCATTTAAAAAATAAATAAACTTTTATTAGTTTGATAATTTCATACATGTTGTGATCCTATGCATCCCCAACATCTCCACCCCCTCCTCTGTGCACACACGCACCCGCATGCACACACGCACACTCAATTGATTCCAGTTACTGCTGCCTGCTGGAATGTGGCTGAACCTGTTGGCTTGCTTTTGTACAGGGAACCACTGGTTTCCTGCCGTCATCATGGTGTGTGGAGAGGATAGTGCTTCACAGCCCTCCCCATCCTCCAGCTCGGCTCTCACATTCTTTCTGCCCCCATTCCACAATGCTCCTTAAGTCTAGAGAGCAGGGGGTGTCGATATGATGTCCTCTCTAGGGCTCAGCATGCAGTCACTTAACTCTCTGCACTTTGACCAAGCCTCTGCATTAACCGCTGCCCAGCTTTAGTGGCCACAAGTGAGCAGTGCTAATCCCAGAGTGTAGACTGAAGCAACATCTGCTTAACAAGGCAACTGTAGTAGTGCCCTCCGGAGGCCCTGCAGGGCAACAGCTTCTGGCTAGGTTTGAAGTGCCAACCTGGGTTCCCTCCCATGGAGCCAGCCACAGGTACAATCAGAGAATTGTCTAACCCTGTGACTGTTCTGCCACTAGTACACCAGAGACTCGCATCTTGCTGGCAGGCTAGTACAGTGCAGGACCCAGACCCGGGTGAGAAGACTATTGATGTCTTTGTCTTGGGCACTGTTGAAGCTAGGCAGCAGTGACCTCTCCTTCCTTGTTATTCCACCCTACTGCATGTAGATTTTACTAGGTGTAGTGTCATCTGGAGATGACGGAAAGTGGATTAGGGGGTGACAGGTTCCACATAGGTGCATCATGGTGTAGGAACATGAGCATCTGTGGGTTTTGTTGTCCATGGGTTGCAGGTTCCATTCCTCACAGCTTCCAAGTGACAGCCCTTTGCAGGTGGGAAGGCTCAGTGTGTCCTCTCAGGTCTCAGGTCTGCCTCCTTTCCTGTTAACCCTCAGCTCCCAGTCTCTACATCATCCATGTGTTTTGCAGGCCTGAAAGTCTGTGTACCACATGTATGCAGTGCCTGTTAAGTCCAGAAGAGGGAGCCAGATTCCATGGAACTGAAGTTAGAGATGGTTGTGATCTTCCATGTGGTGCTGGGAACTAAACAAACCCATGTCCTCTTTAAGAGGAGCAGGGCTCTTAACCACTGAGCCATCTCTCCAGCCCCAAGAACCTTTTAATAGGATGAAGACTTTGTATTAATTTTATAATACTTTTTACATATGGAGAATCACAGTAGCTCAGTGTTCAAAGGATGCATGCTCCATTGGTACATTACACCTGGTGCAAAAATCTTTCTTCTGTCCTGGAACTAAGGAGAAGTCCCTAGGTGACTGTGGAAGTCTTTGCCTCTGGCTTTTTGCCCCTCCCCAAGAGGGTCTGTTTGCCCCTCTCCAGGAGGTCTGTGGGCTGTGGAGGTGCACAGTGACTCCAAAGGACCTTGCTCCCTTGACACAGGGTTTCTCTGTAGCTTTGTAGACGAGACTGGCCTCTAACTCACAGAGATCCACATGCCTCTGCTTCCCAAATGCTGGGATTAAAGGTGTGTGCCACCACCACCCAACTATCCACTGATCTTCTAAGAAATTATTATTATTGCACTTACTTGTGCTTGGAGGTGGGCCCTGTGCCTGGGAGCCTGTGGAGTAAGCTCTCTTCCTTCACCATGTGAGGCTCAGAGACTGAACTCAGGCATCAGGCTTGACCACAAATACCTTTACTACTGTGCCATCTTACCTTCCCCACCTGTCCCTATGGATGCTAGCTCCCTGCCAGCAGGATGAACAGCTGCATTGTGGCCCCAGTAGTATGTCTGCCCCTTCCAGACCAGACCATTCATCCAAGGTGTACACACATGTCATGTGTCCCCCTGCTCCTTCTAAAGCCTGTGAAGTCATAAGGTAGGATTGTGTGTATGAATGGATGACTGAATTAATGATGCAGGGTAAGAAGAGGACCTGGGTGTCAGTAGCCTCTGTGTCTGGCCCACATGTGTAGGTGGCCTGGAGAGGTTAGGACACTGCCCTGCCAAAGGGTTACTGCTATTAGTGGCCTTCAAAGCTACATCTCATAGCTGTTGAGCATCAACGTGGCTCAGGCCATCCTGCAGCTGTGGGTGACTCGGGACCACAGTGGCAGGATTGTGTGTGTACCAGCCCTCAACATGTAAAGCCAGGGTCTCTACAGTGGGGATACTGCTGTCCAGGGACAGCCAACCTGTGAGTCTGGATTTATTACATGTATTTATCTTGGGGAAATGAGTACCCATATGTGAAGGGCAAAAGACAACACGAGTCTGACGTCATTATCTTGTGGTTTCCTGGAGTCAAACTTGGCAACTTTACCCATCACATTGGCCTTTTTATTCTGTTTTATTGAGGCAGGGTCTTTCTCAGCTCAGGATGACCTGCCACAGAACCCCATGGACTTTGAAGACAGGATTATTAACCAGGCCCCAGGACCAAGAGGCACTTCTGTCTTCTGAGAAGGAGGCTGCACAGGGTCACACAGGCTGTCACCTCCCCACAGTAACATCTAAGCCTGGCGGTTGGTCTGTGGCTTGTGCCCTAACCCAGGCCTCTACTGCACTGCATCTAGCCTGGGCCCTCAGGGGCACCACGACACAGATACCAGCCCCAGAAGCCTCAATGTCTCCCTCAGTGGGGCAGCACAGGTATGCCAGCTCCAGCTTCCACACAGCTCTGAGTTGGTTCCTGTCCATCAGCTCTTGATGCCATGGTCCCCTCTGCAGTTGGGACAGGAATCTAGGCCTGTGTGCTTTGATGACCATTGGCCCTGTTGCACAGACTGTATATATCCACTGAATGTTTCTGCTTCCCCATATCCATGTGGGTCATGAGGGATGTCATCAGGACCATAAGCATCCCAGGACTCTGGGGAGCAAGCTGCAGGAAGGCCTGGGTCTACCCATGGGACTAGCCTGGTGAGGGTGGGCCTGGGCCCTTGGTCTGTGATGGAGCCCAGAGTCGCTGAGTCCCAAGTCTGTTCGGGGCTTGGAATCAGAGTGGGATCTCAGACTGCCACAGTAGCCTGGCCAGAAAGCCATTGTGCTCAAAGAAAATAGAGGTAGCTGCTGAGATTGGCACCTTCCACCTGGTCCAGGAGAGACCACATGACAAGCCAAGGTCTTGGTTCTACCTGACCCTAGCAGCCAGAGACCTGTATTGCTGGCCAATCCCCAAGACTTTGGCATTAAATGCTGATCCTAGGCTTTCCTGCCACCCTAAGGATTTATGGCTTCTTGCCCAGGGCAACCTGTGCCTCTCCATACCACAGACCCTTACCCTGGGTTTGAGCACTCCACCTTATGAATGGTGGCAGTGCCCAGCTCTGCAGTGTCTCTGATCCTCCACCTGAGGGTCTCTGAGGCCCACCAGCTGTCCAGGGGTCGTGGGAACTAGTGCTATGTGCAGCCTCAGCAGGAGTCAACTCTGTAAACTCCTTATTTGGGGACTGGCGGGAAGGGGGTCCCAGACCTTCCCCTCCTCATTTCTTGGAAAACCCAGTGCCCTGCATTCCTGGCCTAGGAATGGAAGGGCAGGTCCCAAAGGGGTGAGAGAGAAAGAGACAGAGACAGAAAGAGAACTCAGTAGGGGAGGGTGACTGGTCCTGTGGGTATGTGGGCGGGATGATGGAGGCTTCCAGCATTGTCCCTCCATGCTCTGAGGGTGGGGTGTTATGTGCAGAGCTTCAGCAGAGGGGCTGCTAGGGGCTGGACGGAGTAAATTGAGTCAGGGAAATGGAGACAGACCACTAAGGGGCCTGAGGATATGCTTGTATTTTGGTTTTCCTTGTTTTGTGTTAGACAGCCTCACTGTGTGTCTCTGGCTGTCCTGTAACTCTCTCTATAGACCAGGCTGGCCTTGAATTCATAGAGATCCACCTGCCTCTGCCTCCTGATTGCTGGTATTAAAGGCGTGTGCCACCACACTCCATTTGTTTGTGTTTATGAAATCGGTTCTCATTCAGCCCAGGCTGTCATTAAACTCACCCTGTTGTAGATGGAAGCTTTTGTGTGTTCCGCCTGGTCCCCCTTGTAAGTCCCTACAGCCACTTATGAAATAATATCCTGATGCTTAATATTAATAAAAAAAATCATTTGGCTGATGGCTCAGGCATATTACTGACTAGCTCTTACAATTAAATTAACTCATTCCTATTACTCTGTGTATTGCCATGAGGCTGTGGTTTACCAGTGATGCTCTGGCACATTACTCCTGTAGTGGTTCCATGGCATCTCTCTGACTCTGCCTTCCTTCTCTTAGCATTTGTTTGGATATCCCACCTGGCTATATTTTTCCTGGCCATTGGCTGAAACAGCTTTACTCATCAGCCAATAAAAGCAACACATATTCACAGCATAGAGAAGAACATCCCACATCATCCCCCTTTTCTGTCTAAATAAAAAATAGGTTTTAATTTTAACATAGTAAAATTACATATAACAAAAGTTATCAAGCAAGAATTACAGTTACAATATTTAGTTTATTTGTATTTGACAAATTAAAGAAAATACTTGTCTGTCCTAGCTGAGGATGACATTGAACTCCTGATCTTATTTCCACTTCCAGAGTTCTTGGGGATTCTGTTTTCAGGTGGACAATAGGGGATTCTAGGGCATTCTGTTTTCAGGTGGACAGTCTTGCAGTATTTCCTGTATGGTACAGGCTTGGCCTCTACCTTGTTTCTGGACTTTGCAATCGCTCCACAAAGAGACCCTTGTGTATTTAATGGTCCCTTTCCCTTCTACCTCATGTGCTAGTCTGTATCCTCCACTGTATGGGGCAGCTTCTGTCACTCAGTACTACAGTTACAAGTGTCCTTCATGTCATTGTGTGTGTCGCCACTTGGCAATCTCTGAGCCATATCTCTTCTGCTGTCTTTGCAGCCTGGCTGACAGGAATGGGGCCCTCAAGTGCACCTTCTCCGCAGCTGACCACAGCACCGGCCTCCTGCAGGGTCTGGCTGCCCTCCGTGCACAGGGACAGCTGCTCGATGTGGTCCTCACTGTCAACAGTGAAGCCTTCCATGCACACAAGGTGGTCCTGGCAGCCTGCAGTGACTACTTTAGGTAAGCCTGGCCCTGGGGACATGAGTTCACACATCTGCCACCTATATGTGGGACCTATGTGGTAGCCACCTCTTTGTTTTAAAGACACTGTTTTACTATGTAGCTTGGATTAGCCTCAAACCTACAGTACACCCCCCCTTCAGTCTTCTGGTATTGAGGTGACCTATGATTTCTTTCTAAGTTTCTTTTCTTTTCCAGTCCTGGTACATGCGCTAAACCTTTAGGTCCCCTTCCTTTTTTTTTTTTTTTTTTTTTTTTTTTTGTTGTTTGTTTGTTTGTTTTTGTTTTAAGAGACAGGTTTCTCCGTCTCTTTGTCCTGGCACTCACTCTGTAGACCAGGCTGGCCTCAAACTCACAGAGATCCACCTGCCTTTGCCCCCCAAGTGCTGGGATTAAAGGTGTGCACCACCACTGCCCAGCTTCTTTTTAAATTTTTATTTCCTTTTCGTGTGTGTGTGTGTGTGTGTGTGTGTGTGTGTGTGTGTGTGTGTGATGGTGAGAGGAGGTTCGTGTGAGCCATGGTGTGCACGTGGAGGGTGGAGGGCACTGTAGGCATCAGTTCTCTCCTTTCACTGTGTGGATCCTGGGGATCAAACTCAATTGTCAGGTTTAGCAGCAAGTGCCTTAACCCAGTGAGCCATCCTTCAGGCTTGCCTGCCCCCACCCCACCCCTTTTTTGCTCTTGAGATGGAACTCAAGTAGCCCAGGCTAGCTTTACACTCACAGTGTAGCCCAAGATACCTGTGAGCACCTTGGTCTTCTCTCTGCTCCCACCTCCATGTGTGCTCAGGAAGGCACTGTACCAGCTGAGCCTCTGCTTCCCCCTTCATTCAACACCTGCTTTGTGGCAGGCATTCGTGTGGGCATGTGTGTCCAGCAAGAATAAAGTAGTAATGAGCCCCTTGCTGCCATCATATCCCCTCCAAGTCACTCAAGCACATGGCTGAGGGACTGGAGAGACATGGAAGCCATGGTGCCCAGGTCCTGTGGAGTCTGTGTGGGGGCTCTGTGAGCCTGTACAGCTCTCCTCTTGTTCCCCCGTGGTCACAGGCACGTGGCACATGACCCTGACACGTGGGTGTCTACTTTCCCTGTTCTGGCACTGAGTCAGAACTAAAGACCCAGTGGAGCTGGCTGGTTAGGGGATGCCCCTGCCTGCCAGCAGGGGCAGAATCTGGAATGGTTGCCTTGCAGGCTGTGACCCCTATCCTAAGAGGACCAGGTCCACTGCCACCCAGGTATGTGTGTTGTGCCACATGTCCCTCTAAGCCAGCTGCCCTCCCGGGGGCTCAGTGAAACCATTCTGGGGAGCTGCTGCAGCCAAGCCAATTGGGGCATCGGTGCTATTTTTACTCTAGATTTGGGGGCGGGTGGGTGGCCCAGCCAGCAGTGCCTTTTAAAGGCACCCCGCTCTGGCGATGCAGCCCTTGAGGCCTTAAAAGGCAAAACTCCATCCTATCATCTGGTCTGGGCTCTTTGCTCACTGAAGTGTTCAAGGGCTTGTGGGGAGTCTGAAGGACAGGCAGGGGCTGGGGCCAGGAGCTGTTCCTCATGACCCCAGGGAGGCCCTAGATTGACCCACAGAATAATGTCATTAGGTGGCAGCCCTCCATGGCACCATGGCCTCCTTCCTGGTGTGACCTGAGCCTAGGCTGCATGAAGCACACCACTGTGCGTGGGCATCATCTTTTATGATAAGGGCGTGCCCCCCCCCTTTTTGGCAGCTATCAGCAAAGCCTGTTCACAGTTATAAGGGCACAGAAATGACAAAGTGTCACCCAAGGACTCCTGTGGACCCTTTGAGCACAAGCCAGCCCTCTCCTTCCTGCAGGAAGCTGAGACTTGACCCCAAGCCTTCCCAGAGCCCCTATGTATGGGTCACATGGCTCCAGAGACCCCTAGCAGAGGTCTCAAATAGGCTGAGGACTGAGGTGATTCTGGGCCATGTCTGGGCATGAGTCAGCTTTCTGGAGCTAGTCCCTGAAGACAGCAGTAATGGACATAGCCCTTGTGGGCAGGGACCTCTTGGGACCTTTGTTACAGGCTAGGGGAAACAGGGCAGGCACATGGATCTCTACTTCCCAGGTTCCAGGCTGAGAAGTTGGTCCTGCCTGCAGGGAATCCTGTGTACTAGTAGTGGTGGGAGGCACAGGCTGGTGCGTCTCTGGAGCTAAAGGCAGCAGGTAGCTAGCTGCACACCACAACTGCTATCTCTTCAAGAGATCCACGGCTCAGCCTTGGGAGCTGTGGGGCCGGCAGAGGTGCTGGCAGGAATGGCTGGCTCCCAAGCAGCTGCTCAGGGTCAAAAAGGCTGGGGTGAGGGCAGAACATACCTAATGCTCACTGACAGCCCTGCTCACAGGTGTTGTTGCCACCTCCAGGGCCATGTTCACCGGGGGCATGCGTGAGGCCAGCCAGGCGGTCATCCAGCTGCAGGGTGTGTCTGCACGAGGCCTACGCCACATCATTGACTTTGCCTACAGTGCCGAAGTGACACTGGACCTGGACTGCGTGCAGGATGTGCTGGGCGCTGCTGTGTTCCTGCAGATGCTACCAGTGGTGGAGCTGTGCGAGGACTTTCTGAAAGCCGCCATGAGCGTGGAAACATGTCTGCACATTGGCCAGATGGCTACCACCTTCAGCCTGGCATCACTACGTGAGTCTGTAGATGCCTTCACGTTCCGACACTTCCTGCAGATTGCGGCGGAGGAGGACTTCTTGCGCCTGCCACTGGAGCGCCTTGTCTTCTTCTTGCAGAGCAACCGGCTGCAGAGCTGCACTGAGATTGACCTGTTCCGTGCTGCTGTGCGCTGGCTGCAGCATGATCCAGCTCGCCGTGCCCGTGCCAGCCTCGTGCTGCGTCATGTGCGCTTTCCGCTCATGCAGCCCGCTGAGCTGGTGGACAGTGTGCAGACGCTTGACGTCATGCTGGACGACGCCTTGTGTCGCCAATATCTACTGGAGGCCTTCAGCTACCACGTGCTACCTTGTCGCCAGCATGACATGCAGTCGCCGCGTACGGCTGTGCGTTCAGATGTAGCATCCCTGGTGGCCTTTGGAGGCACGCCCTATACTGACAGTGACCGAGCGGTCAGCAACAAGGTGTTCCAGCTTCCTGAGGCTGGGGCACGCCACTTCCGAGAGCTCACGGAGATGGAGCTTGGCTGCAGCCACGCGGGCGTGGCTGTGCTAGATAACTTTGTGTACGTGGCCGGTGGCCAGCACCTGCAGCACCGCAGCGGAGAGGGTGCTGTGGACGCTTGCTACCGCTATGACCCGCAGCGCAATCGCTGGCTGCGGCTGAGGGCACTACGCGAGAGTCGAGTGCAGTTCCAGCTCACTGCGCTGGGTGGGCTGCTCTATGCCACGGGTGGCCGCAATCGCGCAGGCAGCCTGGCTTCCGTGGAGCGCTACTGTCCGCGCCGTGACAGCTGGGACTTTGCCTGTCCGCTCAAGCGCCGCACCTGGGGCCATGCGGGCGCTGCAGCTGCTGGTCGCCTTTACATCTCTGGCGGCTATGGTGTCTCTGCTGAGGACAAGAAAGCACTGCAATGCTACGATCCTTCAGCCGACCGCTGGGAACCCAGGGCGCCCATGCGCGAGCCCCGCGTACTGCATGCCATGCTGGGTGCTGCTGGCCGCATCTATGCTCTAGGCGGCCGCATGGACCACGTGGACCGCTGCTTCGATGTGCTGGCAGTGGAGTATTACGTGCCCGATGCCGACCAGTGGACTAGTGTGGCCCCTATGCGTGCCGGCCAGTCGGAGGCCGGCTGCTGCCTGCTAGAAAGGAAGATCTACATCGTGGGTGGCTACAACTGGAGGCTGAACAACGTCACAGGCATTGTGCAGGTGTACAACACCGAGACAGACGAGTGGGAGAGAGACCTTCACTTCCCTGAGTCCTTCGCGGGCATCGCTTGCGCAGCGGTTCTGCTTCCCCGCGCTGGTCACGGGAGGTAGCTCTGATCCCGGCCTGGCTGTGTTCCTCAGAGTGTCGGAACCCTAGTTCTGGGGGTCCCCACCTCTCAGTCCTGAGCCAGCAGAGCGATCTGGTCTCAGAGGTTTGCATATCACAGCAGCTACTGCCCAATGTGCATCTCTGCTCTGTTCTGTGTGGCTCAACCTCTATTTCCCTCAACCCTGGCCAGACACTCAGAAGAAAGCTTGTGAACACAAAATAGCCAAGTCCCCGTGGAAACCACTCCTGCCTCTCTTCTGACTGGTTAAAATGCCTGCCATCCAGTGGGTAAAGGTACTGCCACCAAGCCTGACAACCAGTTGTGTCTTGGGACCCACAAGGCAGAAAAAGAAACTGACTTCTTAATTGCCCTATGATCTCCACGTGGGCACCATGACACACATGTGCACACAATCGAGTGTAATTTCAATGATTGTCAATCAGCTCTCCTGGTGCCTGGGCAGCATTCAGGATGCAGGAGGCAGAGGGAGCCCCAGAGGCACCCAGACAGGTGGTAGGAAGACAGCCAAGTGAGTATAGTGGCTTGTTCCAGTACTCTAGAGGCTGAGGTGGGAGGATTATTGCAGGTTCTAGGCCAGCCAGGGCCACAGAGAGAAATCCTGTCTCAGAACAACAAAAGCCATTTGTGTCAGGTGGGGTGTCCTGTGTGACTGCAAGAGTAGCTTGAGGTTGTGGAAGAAAATGAATGACCTGTGTCCATTGCTGGCCGCAGATGGATACACTACCAGGTCTGATGCACTGATGGGTCCTGGACTCTGGGGTGGGTAGGTGGGGACGATGCTGTGGCCATGAGCTCCAGCAGCCCCCCTGAGTGTCAGCCATGTCTTGTTTAAACCCTAAAGTCTCATCTTCGTGTTTTGTTTCACTTTTGTTTAAGTAAGCCAGCCCCACTATCTTTCAAATAAGATTTGTTCTCTGGCAATTTAAAGTTTCTCTTGCTGCTCACTGATGGATGTCACCTTTGTGGGACCCCCTCACCATATGAGTAATTAACCCGCTCTTTTGCTGCAGACCTCTGCTGATCAGTCCTTTTATGTACTAAAGACTGTGGTGGAAGGGTGGAGAAGACCTGTGCTGAGTGCCTGCCTGGCCTCTGACTTTGGGGCTTTCTGTCCCACAGATCTGCAGGATGCCAGAGCTGAGCAGCCTGGAAGAGGGTATTAGTGAGGGATCTCTTCAGGTAGCTGCAGCCCCCCAGAAGCTGCACATCCCAACTGCAGAAAAGCCTCAAAGGCCATGGTGGGGCAGAGTCAGCAGGGTCTGTCTCCATCTTCCCAGGTGCCCCCCAAACCCCACCTCAGTGCAGAGCCATAGTTGGGGACAAGTCTCTGACATGCAGGACAGTCAGTCCCCTAAGAAGGCTGGTGCTGTCATCTTCCATCTCACCCCAAGGTCTCTACTCTTCTACCCCAGTCATTGTTCTCAGCAGAGGCTACTAAAATAAGAGCTGATGTATGGAAGGGAGGAGCCCAGGCTGCCAAGGGCATCCAAATGGTACCCACCAAGGCATTTCAGCTCCCCAACCTGAGCTTTCCCCAGAGAGGATGCCTCCAGTGAGAAGTACAGTCCTTGCAGAGGGCAGGGTGAAGTGTCTGCCAGCCATCAGCCCCCAGATCACATAACACCTCACAACATCTTGTCCCCAATGAACTGGCAGGGGCTCCTACAGGGTGGGGGCGGGGTGTGGGGCACTGCTGTATCTAAGTAGGGGAATTGCGCAGATCCATCTGAGCCAGTTTATGGAATGTTCTTGGGGGCCCCTGCCCCTTCCTTGGCTCCTATTCCACCCCCCTAAAGAAAGGAAAATTATTTTTCGTATTGTAAACTTTAAACATGAAAAAGCTGTTTTTAATTAGCAGAAGCTGACTTGCATGTTCAGTCAGTGAATGTCTGTGTCCTTCCAAGAAAGGGAAACATGCCTTTGTACTGCGCATGCTCACAATACACACACACACACACACACACACACACACACACACACACACACACACACCTGAATGCAAGGATACACAGTAACTCAAGCTCACAGAGCCAGCCTGGATATGCCAAACCCATTGCTTCAGTGTGTGCACAGCTTCACACACACACACACACACACACACACACACACACACACACACACGGTTAGGGGCAAGCCCACCAGGCTAGGGTGTGTCTCAAGGGTGGAGCCTCTACCTAGGATCCCCCAGTGAGGGGCTGAGGGCTGGCTCAGTGGCAAAGGACAGACCTAGAATGTATGAGCCCCTGGTTTCTATTCCTATCATATACAGAAGCCAGCTCCAGCATCTGGTAGATACCCTCTTCAGGTCTGTAGCAGTCCTGCCCTGGCCTCTCTCTGCCTTTTATCTTAAAGTCTTAGGGCTCTGAACTGCCTTGATCCTAGGGACATTGGGCTGCTTCCTGCTTCTTCCTAGAGGCTTGGCCAAGGTCCTCAGGCACCTCCCTCCACACCTGGGCTCTGGCTGTGGGAAACTGCCCTCTCAGGGGACATTGGTTTTCAGGCCCGAGAGACAGGCCAAGTGTGACTTCTAGGGCCTCTAAGTGAGTCAGGCCAAGGGGGCCTCCAGGGAGCCATGTGAGGTGGGAATCTGCCTGGACCTGGCCAGCTTGGAAGCCCGCCCCTGGCTCTGCTTTGCAGAACTCAGCTCCAGCTTGAATGTTCTCACGGCTCAGATCCTCTGTGTTCTCCTAATGCTGGCAGCACCTGGCTGTAGTCTCAGCAGCCTGGGACCTGGTCCAGAGAGACCTGGCCAAAAGATGCCCATACTTAAGAGAGGTAAGAGGGGTGAGTGCCTATCACCACTCCAACTCCAGCACTTGTACAGCCACTTGGTGCCAAGCTGCACTCCTATGCAAGGCAGAGCCCCTGCTTAGCATGCCTCTCTGTTCCCAGGGACTGACCCAGCAGCCACAACTCCCTCCTTGACAGTAGACCCCTGATATGCAGCTAGCAGCCATGTGCCCAGCTTTGGGCTGATTTAAGATTTGGTCCGAACCATTCTTGGCACTGCTGTTAGCTGGGGTTGTTTTTCAATCTGGGCACAGCTCCCAGCTCTGGCCAACAATCTCCAAGGGGTCAAGGGATACTTTGCTGCCCCCTCCCCTCTCTTGCTGTTTCCTCTGTAGTCGGGAAGCCAGGAGCTTCGGCAGCCATCTTGTGGCTGTGAGGAGCAAGGTAAGTGAGCCAGCCAAAGAGACATCCCTGCCTCCCAAATGGTGTGGTCACAAATGTCTGTAACCCAATGCCATGGAGGGTGGAGACTGTACCTACAGGGTCAGCGAGGGGACCAGATAGCAGGACACTCACTCCTGTCTCTACTTGTGCACATGCACATGATGCAAATTGATGGAGTAGGTATGAGGCTCCATGAAGAGGCTACCCTTGTGTGAGGCCCTGCATTCAATTGTGATGCAACACTTTTGCACACAAAATTGGGCATAGCACAATTTGTCATCCCAGTAACCTAGAAGCTGAAACAGGAGGAGGGTGAGTCTAAGCCTGGGCTGCACAGGGAGATGTGCAGTAGCTGCCAGACATGGCCAGGAGGCTGGGTTAGGGTTAAGAAGGAGCAAAGAAATGAGGCACCAGACCCTGAGCTGAAAGCTGTCATAGTCCTGGATGCTGAGGCTACTTCTAATGTCACTGCATAGCACAGTGAACATGTGGACCTCACAGGACAACTCATGGAGCTGGTTCTTATCTTCCTCTGTAGGACCCAGGGACTGAACTCAGGTTACCACTCTTGGTGGCAAGCCCCTTTATCCATGGAGCCACCTTGTCAGTGCTGTTCCACTATCATTGAGTAGGAAAGCCCCCAACTAGTGCCCCAGTGTCTTAGTTACTTTCTGTAGCTAAGATACCTAGGCCAAGGCAACTTAAAAAAGAAAGAGTTTCCTGGGTTTGCAGTTTCAGGGTTAAGTCCATGAGCATCATGTCAGGAAGCATGGCAGCAGGCAGGCATCGTGCTGCAGCAGTAGCCGAGAAGGTGTATGTTGAGAGACAACAACCACCAGGCAGAGAGCATGCTGCCAATGGTGTGGACTTTTGAAAGCTCAAAGACCATCACAGTGACATGCTTCCTCCAACAAGCTCACACCTCATCATCCTCCCTATCCCACAACTGGTGGCCATTCTCACTAAGACCACCACACCCAGTCTATATCCTCCACCCATATCTCATCTGCTTACAGGAGAGACAACACATCTGTGAATCAGTCAGCTACTGCTGCATAAGAAACAGCCCCACAGCCAGGTGGGCTAGCACACTTCTTCAATCTACAGAAGCACAGGTAGATCTCTGTGAGTTCAAGGCCAGCCTGGACTGCAAGAGAGCATTGCAAGCCAGGTGTGTTGATGTATACCTTTAATCCCAATAGGTAGATCTCTGAGCTCAAGTACAGCCTGGTCTATAGAGTGAGTCCAGGACAACCTGGGCTACACACAGAAACCTGTCTCAGCCCCACCATCACCACCAAGGAAAAAAAAGGTAATCAAGAGAGCCTTCCAGACCAACTGGGGCTAGAGTGAGACCCTGTCTCAAAAACAAAATAGCACCTAAGAACAACAGCTCCTCGTTAATTGTTACCACATGGTTCTCTGTGGGTGACTGGGCACTGTGTCTTGTCCAGGCTGACAAAGCTGCAGTTGTTTCTGGCTGTGAGGCTGTTCACTGGCAGCTCTCTGTGTCTCTGTCTCATGTATTTCCTGATGCCAGCAGCAAGCCAGTCCCATTCCTGCCACACAGGTGTCCAAAGCCGCATAGAAACATGTTTGGCTGCTAAGTTCTAGCTAGTAGGCTGCTATTTCACTCCAGCTGCCCTCTACTGTGCACACATCACAGAGCCTCAGGGCTTTGATGAGTGGACATTTCTCCCTGAAAAGAAAGAACCGAGGAACCCTGTGGCCAAAGCTATGGGTACAGGAACGGATGGAGAATGGGAGCCAATAGTTGGACTCCCAGCATTGACTTGGGGACTTCTATTCATGTGGATCGGCTTCCCAAATGGGAATAGAAACCTAGGTGCTGGGCAGCCAGGAAAAGCCAGGCCCAGTGTAGCTGCCAGAAATTGAACCTGGGTCCTCTGCAAGAGCAGCCAGTGATGTTAGTCCCAAACCTTCTCTCCAGCCCCTCACTTCTTTAGTTTTTTTTTTTTTTCTTTGTTTTGTGAGTGTGTGTATGTGTGTGTGAAGGTCAGAGGACAATTGCAGGAGTCAGTTCTCTCTTTGCACTGTGTGGCTCTTTGGGATTGGATTCAGGATCGACACTAGGCTGCAAACCTTTATATACCCGCCCTGGCTCAATTGCAGGGTGGGTAGTCAGGACCTGGGACCTTACATTACTGCCATCCAGGTGAACTCCAGGTCTGCCTTTTGGTTGTTTTCAGCACTGGGAGGGAACCTGGGGCTATCCAGCTACACACACACACACACACACACACACACACACACACACATGCGCGTGCGCACATGCATACAAACAACATATACATATATCACACATATAGCTAGGTTCAAGAAGCATGGGTGAGTGGTTTTTCAGGTGTGCACTGCATCTCAAGTAATGTTCTTTAGCAAATGTGTTGAGACAGATTCACTTCTGCTTGGGAATGAGAAAGAGGGAGCCTTTTGCAGCAGGTTTTGAGGAATTAATAGGAGTTCCCTAGGCAGAAGGGCATTCAGCAAACCTATTTTCATACCACTACAGATAGCATGTACTGTATTAGCTAATAAACATGTATGAGCTGAAACATTGAAGGAGAGATCTAGAAAGATCTAGGAGAGGATCACAGATAGAAGTCCCCTCCCATTCTGAGATCTTGAGGTCATGTGTGGCTGAGGTGACTCAGGTTGACAGCATTCATCTGCCCTGATTTTACAGGGAAAGGTCAACTTACTTTGCTGTCATTACTATGATAATGATGATGACAATAATGATGTGTGTGTGTGAATGTGTGTATGAATGTGAATCTGTGAGATTCAGAGCATTGTGTGAATGTGTTTGTGAGTCTGTAAGCATATATGTCTATGAGCATGTATGTCTGTGTGTGACAGTGTATGTGAGTGTGTGGACATGTATGTGAGGGTGGGTCTGTGTGAGTGTGAACATGTTTGTGAGCATGTATGTCTGTGTGTGAGTTTGTCTGAGCATCTACATTTGTGGGAACATGTGTGTGCAAGCATGTAGGTGTGTGTGAGCATGTATATCTTGTGTGTGTGTTGCATCCATGCAAGTATTTTGCATCTATTTACAAGCATGCAGACATCAGGGCAGGACATCTGAAATATCTTACTGTCTCATCTTTATTCCCTTGAGACAGTTCTTTCATCATTTAGCCAGGCTGACTGGCCAGTGAACTCTCAGGATTCACCTGTCTCTGCTTCCTAGTACAGGGGTTATGGCATACCCAGGTTTTTACATGTGTGTGAGATCCAGACTCAGTCATAATGCTTGGACAGCAGCATGCTTACCCACCAAGCCAGTTTCTAAGCTTCTGTTTATTTTATTCCAAGAATATTTATTTATAATTTACTCATTTCTGTATGCCTTGATGAGCATATGTGCACCATATACGTGTAATGCACAAAGAGGCCAGAAAGAGGCACTGGGTTCCCTGGAACTGGAGTTACAGATGGTGTGAGCTGCTGTGTGGATGCTGGGAATCAAACATAGTCCCTGTGTTTTTTGTTTCCCTGCTGTCTTGGTCACTGTTCTATTGCTGTGAAGAGACACCATGGACACAGCAACTCTTCTAAAGGAAAACATTTAATTGGCTGGCTTACAGTTTAGAGGTTCAGTCCATTATCATCATGGTGGGACATGGTGTTGTACAGGCAGACGTGGTGCTGGAGAAAGCTAAAAATTCTACATCTTTGATCTTCAGGCAACAGGAGATGAACTGAACTAGGCATATCTTGAGCATATGAGCCCTCAAAGCTCACCTCCACAGTGACACACTTCCTCCAACAAGGCCATACATACTCCAGCAAAGCCACAATTCCTAACAGAGCCATTCTCTATTGGGGCCAATTACATTCAAACTACCACAGACACCATGACCACTGCAACTTTTTATTTACTTCGTCATCCATCTGTTTATTTATTTATTTTTTTAAGACAGGGGTTCTCTGTAGCTTTGGAACATATCCTGGAATTCACTCTGTAGACCAGGCTGGCCTCGAACTCATGGAGACTTGCCTACCTCTGCCTCCCAAGTGCTGGGACTAAAGGTGTGCACACATCTTTGGGGCCACTCTTATTCAAACCATCACACTACAAGCTGACCCATCTCTCTGGGCCCAACCTTAGAAGAGTCAGTCTTTCCACATTTATATCCCCAGTGCTGGGATAACTGGTGTACATGCTGCAATTTTCTTTGAGCAAAGATGGGAGGGGGTTCCCCTCTGCTTGATTCTCTCCACATCACCATCAAGCCTGGGGGTTGGTCAGTGGATTAAGGTGCACTTAGGTCATGGTCAAGCCATTGCCCAATAAGCAGGTTATCACTTCCACCACATAGGGTCAGGAAAGATCCAGTTACAGGCGGGGCTATGGGCTGAGTGGAGTGAGCCTCATGTAAATCTGCATGTCCTTTATGCTGGTGGTACAGCAGGTTCTTTCCATGATACTGCTCTTGGATCTGCCTGGACATTGGTCTCTTTATTTGGTTACTTCTTTTGTTTCTTTGAGACAGTCTCTTAGGCTGGCTTTCAAATCTCTATGTAGCGGAGGATGACTTTGAACTCCTGATACTCCTGCCTCAGCGTCCTATGTGTTGGGGTGACATGTGTATTACAATGTCCAGCTTCTATGACTTACCACTGAGGAAGGTATCAGGTGTCCTTCTCCATTCCCCTCTACCTATTATTCCTTTGAGGCAGGGCCTCTCACTGGACATGAGCTCATTTTTCAGCTAGAATGTCTAGTCTTCACCTCCCCAACACCGAGGTCACAGGCACACATTTTCATGCCCAGCTTTTTTTAAATTTATTTTTCTTATTTTACATGTTATCCCGGTTCCTCTTCCCTCCCTTTCTTCCTTCCTCCCTCCCTCCCATGCTCCCCAACCACCCTCCCACCCCCACCCCCCACTCCACAGGGAGGATGAGGCCTTCCCTCCTGGAAGACAGACAAAATCTGTCAAGTCATTTGGAGTAGGGACTAGGCCCTCCATGCCCAGCTTTTATGTGTGTGCTGGAGATTCAGACTCACTCGGGTTCCCATGCTTGTACACCCAGTTCTTTTACCCATGGAGACACCTCCCTAGTTCTAATTATTTTAATTAATGCTTTTTTCATTTATTTTACATAACAACCAGTGTCCCCTCCCTCCTCTGCTCTGGTTCCCTTCCCCCAACTCCCATCTGCCTTCCCCATCCACTCCTCCTCTAATATTTTTAAGTTAAAAAATTTGCGCACGCACTTGCACCTATGTGCTCGCCAAGACCAGAAGAGGGCGTTGGATGCCCTAGAACTAGAGTTACAAGGGCTTGTGAGCTGCTCTACCTGTGTGCTGGATCCATCACTAGGGCAGCAAGTGCCCTCAACCTCTGAGCCATTTCTTTAGTCGACTTTTACCCCCTAAGACTGAGTCTCCTGTGTCACAGGCTGACTTTGAATTCACTCTGTAGCTAGGCTCTGCCCAGGAGCCAGTTACACCTCCTGCTCTCTTGGTTGCTTCCTGGAGGGAGGTCTGCTCGCCTCACCGGCTGTGTACCCCAGGGGCCACAGCTGCTGGTTCAGCCGGTGCCCTGGTACAAAGCGGGCGCCCCAGAACTCCTCAATGACTGCTGGAGTTCAGTGAATGCAGGTATCAGGGCTGCCGTGCCCTCCGCCACTTGTCACTCGGGGAAAGCACAGGACCCACAAGGAGGTGACCGCTGTCCAGCGGACTGCGAGCCGCTCAGTGAGCCTGCGTAGCCACGGCCTTCCCCGATCCAAACTCACTGCTCCGGTGTGCGCATGCGTCTCAGCCCCCCCCACCCCGCGGCGCTGCTCCAGTGCGCCTGCGCTATGGTCCAGCCGCGTTTGCGCCTGCGTATTGCTCTCCGACCGTGGGCCCAGCCGGCGTCTGCGCAGTGGCGACCGCGAGGGGGGGGGTGAAGAGGTGGAGGAGGAGGAGGCGGCGGCGAGAAGATGGCGACTTCGAACAATCCGCGGAAATTTAGTGAGAAGATCGCACTGCACAACCAGAAGCAGGCGGAGGAGACGGCGGCCTTCGAGGAGGTCATGAAGGACCTGAGCTTGACGCGGGCCGCGCGGGTGAGAGCGCGGGGGAGGGGAGGAGGGACGGGAGGAGGGAGAGACGCGGGGGCGGGGCTGCGGCCGCCGCAGGTGTCCCCATGCCGCCAGCCGGTGCGGAGCGGCTACTCGAAAGGTTGCTTTTTGGACTGGACAGGTGGTGCCATCGCAACTACCTGGGAAGACAGGTGTCATCCATCATTGCTACCTGAGGGGACGCGCGCCCTCATGATAGCTATCAGAATGGACACGTGTCACCTCCCTGATTGCTACCTGATGGGACAGGGACTCCATCATTGCTACCTCAGGGAACCTGCATCTTCTTCATTGCTTCCTAAGGTGTTAGGTGTCATCCTTTATTGCTACATGCAGGGATAGGTGGCCCCATCATTGCTATGTGAGGGGACAGTTGCTACCCATCATACTACCTGTTGTGGGGGGGAATAAGGGGTTCCACTGTTGCTACCTCAGGAGATAGTTGTCACCCTTTGTGCTACCTGAGTGAATAGGTCATCTCATTATTGCTACCTGAGTGAACAGTTGTCAGCCTTCATTGGCACTTAAAGGAGAAGGGTCCCTTCATTTGTTATCTGAGGGGACAGTTGCCACTCCTTTGTCACCTGAGGAAGGGAGTGTATCATTGCCACCTGTGCTCTCCTTGGGTATTCCTACTTTTGCAGTGAAGATGTTGTCCCTCTTGGATAGCTGAGTGGCCCTCCATGGGGCCCCCAGAGGTTTGGAATCAGCATGGAGGCAGCTGCTTGGTTTCCATGCAGCCTCTGTGCTGGGGACAAGGTGATGATGTACCTCCATTCATGGCAGGAGACAGCTGCCCCTGGCCTAGGTGAAGGTGTGACTGCCTCAGGTGCTGGGATACTGGCCCCAGTGGAGTGGCCTGGTGCCTGACTCTCCATGTCAAATGTGTGATGTTGGATGCTCCTCGAGGGTGGCATGTTCTGCACATTCTTGGGTTTAGGTTGCAGACACCCATGTTTCTGGTTCCTGAGTCCCTCTCCTGCTTACCAGGTGACCTGCCAGGGACACAGGTCAGGTAGAGCCTTCGGTGATTTTATAACCAGTGTCTTGTTTCCCCAAGACTGGTGTCGCAGAAAAAAATGTGTGTTGGGATGTGCCTGCTTTCTCACTCTCACCATGCCGCGTTCCCTTTGGCTGGTGGATGAATGAACAAATAAAGTGTCACCCCTGTGTCATTCACAGGCCAGGGCAGCCACGGCATATAGTAGGTATCTGCATACAGTTGGTGTCAAATGTTTGCAGTTTAGCCAGAACAAAGAGTTCCATGGCTGATGTTTTGATGGAAGTCTGTTTTCTCCCAGGAACTGGGAATGGATGATTGTGGAAGAGATACTGAGGCAGGGTCTAATCAGCACAGGCTAGCCTTGCACTCACTGTGTTGCTGAGGATGACTTTGACCTCTACATGTGTGATGTCCCATAAGGGGCCTAAGTTCAAAATACACATAACAGGTGTGGGGGGGGTGATAGCACATGCCTGTCTTTCAGCAGTCTGGAGGTTGAGGCAGGAGGATCGCTGTGAGTTTGAGATCTTTTAAAGCAGCCTAGGCTATACAGTAAAACAAATCTAGAAAAGAAAGGAAGATTAAAAAAAAAAAAAAAGGTAGTGCTAAGGATACAGTTTAGAAAAGTGCTGATCAAAACAGTGTGATCCCCAGTGCTCTGTAAGAAGCATGTGCCCCCACTGGCAGCCGGTGGAGGCAATCAGGTGGCCTCAGTCCGCTGGGCCGGCACATCAGCAGGCTCCAGGTTAAGAGGAACCCTGGGCTGTAGAGATGGCTCAGTGGTAAGAGTACTTGATGCTTTTCTAGAGGACCTGGGTTCAGTTCCCAGCATCCATGTCAGGCTGATCACAACTCTCTATGACTCCAGCCCCAAAGGGAACTTGGCCTCCTCAGGCACCTGCACTCATGTGCAGGTGCACATACCACCTATGATAAAAAATAAATAAATAAAAATGGCTGGGCATGGTGATACACACTGTTAATCCAGCACTCAGGAGCCAAAGGCAGGAGGATCTCTGTGACTTCAAGGCCAGCCTGGTCTACAGGACAGCCAGGAATATGCAGAGAAACCTTGTCTTGAAAAATGAACAATTTGAAGGCTCCTAAAGAACAATGCCTGAGGCTGGCCCGTAGTCTCTACAGACGTGTGTGCACACATCCATAGCCACACACAAAAAGGGGAAAAATGACAAAATTTATTGATTAAAATTTTTTGAAAGTTGTTTACATTATTTATTTTGATAGACATGGGTGTGAAGTCAGACAACAATCTGTGGAAGCTGGTTAGCTTTCCACCATGTGGGTTCTAGGGCTCACAGTCAGGTCGTTAGTCTTGGTGGCAAGCCACTTCACTATTCACCTGCAGAGCGTCTCACCATCTTCTTCTTTAAGAGTTGTCATCTGTCTGCAGTTCACCAGCTTATGCCTGCACCCCCACTACCCCATGCTCTCTGGGATGGCACTGGGTTACACTGTCTGTTGTGTTGGACATCTCAGTCCCTTGGGAACTGCACCCTGGACACAGGTGTCATGCCACATGTCCTGATCCCTGTGTCCTAGGAAGATGGGGAGGACATTGGAGACTACTAGGGCTAAGTGGATGTATGGAACATGCAGAGAAAGGGCTGGTGGCCTGAGCAAGGGGGTCAGGCAACTGGTGAGGATGGGGCAGAGTGGATGTAGTGTATATGTCATTTGCTGACATTGCTTGGGATACTGATTCTTGGTATGACTAATACTGAGTATCTTAGGCATAGGACCTGGGCCACAGAATGTCCTTAGTCAGCTAGGTGTGGTGGCATGTATCTATTGTCCCAGATGCTTGGAAGGCTGAAGTATGAGGATTCTAGAGACCAGGTATTTGAGCAAGGCCCTCTCTTCACAAAAACAGTAATACAAGAAGGCCCTGTATTGGCTGAGTGGTAGCATTCTGGCCTTTACCTGTGACAGGTGTGTGTGTGTGTGTGTGTGTGTGTGTGTGTAGATCAGAGGATGGCTTGCTGGAATTGGTTCTTCTGTCATGTGAGTCATGAAGATTGAACTCAGGTCATCAGTCTTGGCAGCAATCACCTTCATACCTACTGAGCCATCTAGCTGGCCCTTTGGCACTTCTCTTTTGCTGCTGGTTACCAGGGGTGCTACTTGGCAGAAGAAATACCCCAAGATGCTGTCAGGAGGATAAGGGTGACACCTTCCTTACTACTACTCTCTTTAAAAGCTTCTCCAGGGTGTGGGTGGCCCCATAGCAGTTGGATGATGGCCTGTGAAAACTGTCTGTCTCTGCTTGGCTCCAGGACCTGGCAGTGGGACTTTTCCTGGTGAAAGGACTTTGCAGATGGGTCTGGTAAGGTCACTGGAGATGGCTGTGGATGGTTGTGTGCACTTCTCCTCCAGCACTCAGGAGGCTGCAGTGGATGGGGCAGGGGTTCAAGGCCAGCCTCAGCTACATGAGACCCTATCTCCAAAAACCCTGAGTAAAATGTAGAAGATGTCACAGGAAATGGGCCATGGAGATTTAGCCATGTGAAAATGGAATGGTGAGAGGGACAGGGACAGAAGTCAGCAGCCTCTTGGAGAACGCCCTCCTGTAGTATCCAACAGGTACAGAGTGCAGTGACATCATGGTGGCAGAGTGTCCCTCAGGATCTGGAAGACAACTATCCCTGTCATTTCACTACTATGTTGTTTTTCTTTATTTTATTTTTGTTATTGCTGTTGATTTTTGAGACAGGGTTTTTCTGTGTAGTCCTCGCTGTCCCAGAACTCATTTCGTAGACCAGGCTGGCCATGAACTCACAGAGATCCACCTGCCTCTGCCTTCTGAGTGCTGGGATTAAAGGTGTGTGCCACCACCACCTGGCTTTTGTTTCAGTTTTTGAGACAGGCTATCTTCAGAATCATGTGACAAGGTGAGAAGTATAAGTTACAGTGTACAGTCCAGGCTTCCAAGTGTGTGTATGTGTGTGTAGGCAGACTTTCCTGTCCTACCAGCCAGCTCCCAAATAACCACACAGAGACTTATTATTATAAATGCCCAGCCAATAGCTTAGGCTTGTTATTAACTAGCTCTTACAACTTAAATTAATCTATATTTCTTATTTGTGGTCTATCATGTGATTTGACACCTTTTTGCAACCCCTGTGTCCTGGCAACTCCGTGTGACTCTGTCCTTCTTCTTCCCACCATCCTCTTAGTTATGTGTGTGTGTGGGGGGGTGTGCGTGTGTACTGATCCACCATTCTTGATCTTATCCCATTCACTCTGAGTATCTTGTTGGTCCTGAAACTTGGGCAGCAAGCCCCAGCCACCCTTCAGGGGTTACAGGAATGTATGACCATGCCCACTGCTTTTTTTTTTTTCTTTCTGTTTTTGAGACAGGGTTTCTCTGTGTAGCCCTGGCTGTCCTGGAACTCACAGAGATTGGCCTGCCTCTGCCTCCTGCTCACCCAGTAAGCACTGTTCCCACTGACCCATCTTCCAAGTTACTGTGTTCACTTTTGTTTTCTGTTTTTTTGTGTGTGTGCTTTGTTTTTGAAACAGCTATGGCTGTCATAGAATTTGCTCTGTAGTCCAGGCTGGTCTCAGACTCAGAGACCCACCTGCCTGTCTTCCCAGTACTGGGAATAAAGGTGTGTGCCACCACCACCCGACTTTACTTACTTGTTTTTTTGTTTTTTGTTTTGGTTTTTCGAGACAGGGTTTCTCAGTGGTTTTGAGGGCTGTCCTGGAACTAGCTTTTGTAGATCAGGCTGGCCTCCAACTCATAGAGATCCATCTGCCTCTGCCTCCTGAATGTGGGGTTTAAAGGCCTGTGCCACCACTGCCTGGCTCCTACTTGTTTTTTTATTTATTTTATTTTATGTATATGAGTATTTTGCCTGCAAGTATGTACCATGTGAATGCTAAGTTCCCAAGGAGGCAGAAGAGGGCATCAGATCCCTGGGAACTGGTGTTAGCCTTAATTGGCCTTATATAAGAACGG